CCCCTTCTGACTAGATAAATCTAACCACAAAATAAACAAGAAAGAAGTTAAGGAGGTGAATAGAACATTACAAAAGTTAGGTATGATAGACCTCTGGAGAAAACTGAATGGGGATAGAAAGGAATATACTTTTTCCCGTGGTACATGGCACATACACAAAAATTGACCATGTACTAGGGCATAAAAACCTCACAATCCAATGCAGAAAGGCAGAAATATTAAATGCATCCTTTTCAGATCATGATGCAATAAAAATTATATGTAATAAAGGGCCATGGAAAGATAGACTAAAAATAATTGGAAACTAAATAATCTAATCCTAAAAAATGATTGGGTCAAACAACAAATCATAGAAACAATCAATAATTTCATTCAAGAGAATGACAATAATGAGACAACATACCAAAACTTATGGGATGCAAAAAGCAGTTCTTAGGGGAAGTTTTATATCTCTAAATGCTTACATAAATAAAATAGAAAAAGAGGAGATCAATGAATTGGGCATACAACTAAAAAAACTAGAAAAAGAACAAATTAAAAATCCTCAACTAAACACCAAATTAGAAATATTGAAAACCAAAGGAAAAATTAATAAAATTGAAATTAAGAAAACTATTGAACTAATAAATAAAACTAAGAGCTGGTTTTATGAAAAAACAATAAAATAGATAAACCTTAGGTTAATTTAATTAAAAAAAAAAAGAAGAAACCAAATTACTAGTATCAAGAATGAAAAGGGTGAAGCTACCACCAAGGAAGAGAAATTAAAACAATAATTAGGAATTATTTTGCCCAACTATATGCCAACAAATTTGACAATCTTAGTGAAATGGATACATATTTACAAAAATATAAATTGCCCAGATTAACCAAAGAGGAAGTAAAATACTTAAATAACCCCATCTCAGAAAAAAAAAATTGAACAAGCCATTGATGAACAAAAACTCCAGAGCCAGATGGATTTACATGTGAATTCTATCAAACATTTAAAGAACAATTAATTCCAATACTATATAGACTATTTGGGAAAATAGGTGAAGAAGGAGTCTTACCAAATTCTTTTTATGATACAAATATGGTGTTGATACCTAAACCAGGAAGAGTCAAAACAGAAAGAAAATTATAGACCAATTTCTCTAATGAATATAGATGCAAAAATTTTAAACAAAATATTAGCAAATAGATTACAGCAACTTATCACAAGAATAATACACTATGACCAGGTAGGATTTATACCAGGAATGCAGGGTTGGTTCAATATTAGGAAAACTATCAGCATCATTGAGCATATCAACACCAAAACCAACAGAAACCACATGATCATCTCAATAGATGCAGAAAAAGCTTTTGATAAAATACAACCCATTCCTATTAAAAACACTAGAAAGCATAGGTATAAATGGAGTCTTCCTTAAAATAATAAATAGCATCTATCTAAAACCTTCAGCAAGCATTATATGTAATGGGGACAGGCTAGAAGCATTTCCAATAAGATCGGGGTGAAACAAGGATGTCCATTATCACCACTGTTATTCAATATTGTACTGGAAATTAGCTTTAGCAATAAGAAAAAAAAGAAATTGAAGGCATTAGAATAGGCAAAGAAGAAACAAAGCTATCACTCTTTGCAGATGACATGATGATATACTTAGAGAATCCTAGAGAATCAAGTAAAAAACTACTTGAAATAATAAACAACTTTAGCAAAGTTGCAGGCTATAAAATAAACCCACATAAATCATCAGCATTTCTATATATTACCAACAAAGCCCAACAGCAAGAGATAGAAAGAGAAATCCATTTAAACTTACTGTAGACATTATAAAATACTTAGGAATCTATCTCCTGAAACAAACCCAGGAATTCTACAAACACTTTTCACACAAGTGAAATCAGATCTAAATAATTGGAAAAACATCAGTTGCTCATGGGTAGGCAGCTAATATAATAAAAATGACAATCCTACCTAAGCTAATTTACTTATTCAGTGCCATACCAATCAAACTACCAAAAATTATTTTATAGAGTTAGAAAAAATAATAACAAGAAGAACAAAAGGTCCAGAATATCAAAGGAACTAATGAAAAGAAATGCAGGGGAAGGTGGCCTAGCCATTGCAGATCTTAAATTGTATTTTAAAGCAGCAATTATCAAAACTGCTTGGTACTGGCTAAGAAATAGAGTGGTGGGTCAGTGGAATAGGTTAAATATGCAAGACACAGTAGTCAATGACTATAGTAATCTATTATTTGATAAACCCCAGCTTCTGGGATAAGAACCCACTCTTTGAAAAAAACTGCTGGGAAAACTGGAAAAGAGTATGGCAGAAACTAGGCATAGACCCAAATCTCACACCATATACCAAAATAAAGTCAAAATGGGTTCATGACTTAGATATAAAGGCTGATACCATAAGTAAACTGGGAGAACAAGGAATAGTTTACCTATCAGATCTATGGAGAACAGAAGAATTCATGACCAAACAGGAGATAGAGAACATTATGAAAAGCAAAATGGATAATTTTGATTACATTAAATTGAAAAGTTTTTGCACAAACAAAGCCAATGCAACTAAGATTAGAAGGAAGGTAGAAAATTGGGAAAGAATTTTTACAACCAGTCTCTCTGATAAAGGCCTCATTTCTAAAATATATAGAGAATTAAGACAATTTATAAGAACACAAGCCATTCCCCAATTGATAAATGGTCAAAGGATATGAACAGACAGTTCTCAGATGAAGAAATTAAAGCCATCTATAGTCATATGAAAAAATGCTCTAAATCATTATTGATTAGAGAAATGCAAATCAAAACAACTCTGAGGTATCACATCACACCTATCAGATTAGCCAACATGACAAAACAGGAAAATGATAAATGTTGGAGAAGATGTGGGAAAATTTGAACACTAATGTATTGTTGGTGGAGTTGTGAAATGATCCAACCATTTTGGAGAACAATTTGGAACTATGCCCAAAGTGCTATAAAAATGTGCATATCCTTTGACCCAGCAATAGCACTTCTAGGGCTATATCCCAAAGATATCATACAAATGGGAAAAGGACCCACATGTACAAAAATATTCATAGCAGCTCTTTTTGTGGTGGCAAAGAATTGGAAATTGAGAGGATGCCCATCAATTGGGGAATGGCTGAGCAAGTTGTGGTATATGAATGTAATGGAATACTATTGTGCTATAAGAAATAATGAACAAGCTGACTTCAGAAAAACCTGGAAAGACTTGTATGGTCTGATGCTGAGTGAAGTGAGCAGAACCAAGAGGACTTTGTACACAATAACAGCCACGTTATACGATGACTAACATTGTTAAACTGAACCCTTCTCAGCATTACAAGGATCTAAGACATCTCCAGAGGCCTCAGGATGGAAAATGCTGTCCACATCCAAAGAAAGAACTATGGAAGTGAATTGCTGTCATTTTTTTTACTCTTCTGTTATTGGTTTTAATTTTTACTTACAACATCACTAATGTGAAAATATGTTTAATAGTAATATAAATGTATAGCCTATATCAGATTGTGCGCTGTCTTGGGGAGGATGGTGGGGAGGAAGGGGGAGAAAAATTTGAAACTCAAAAGCATATGGAAGTGATTGTTGATAAATCAAAGTAAATTAATAAAATAAATTTTAAAAAAAGAAATGAAGAATGGCACTTTGGTTGCAAGGCTGGGTGATTGGGAAGAAGGTAGTATTCTTGACAGAAATAGGGAAATTAGAAAGAGAGCAGGGTTTGGCGGGAGAGGTAGAAATCATTCTGTTTTGGACATGTTGAGTTTAAGATGCCTACAGGACCATCCTGTTCAAGATGTCTGAAAGGAAGTTGGAGATTTGAGACTGGTGGTCAGCAGAGAGGTTAGGGCTAAATGAGAAGATTTGTGAATCATCAGCATAGAGATGATAATTGAATCCTTGAGAGCTGATGAGATCATCAAGTGAAGTATGGAGGGAGAAAAGAAGAGGGTCTAGGGCAGAGCCTTGAGGGACCCTCACTGTTATTGGGTAAGAGCTGGGAGAAGATCCAGCAAAGGCAATGGAAGAGCCATTGTACAGGAAGGAGGAGAACCAGGAGAACCTTGTCCCAAAAACCTGGAGAAAAGAGTGTTGAGGAGGAGAGAGGGATCATCTGCTGGGTCACAGGCTGCCGAGGTCAAGTGGTCAGGTGAAGATTAAGAAAAGGCCATGCAGGAAGCTGCAGCATGGGGGTGGGATGGGGGCACCCATCAGTTTTTTATCCTTGATTAAAAGCTTAGGAATGAAGGGTACATTTAGGGAGAAGATTCCCAGACCCTTCTTTCTCTTGTTTTGATTACTCTCCTTCACCCCCTGCCAAGAAGATAGGAAGCAATGCAGTGAATGATTGCCAGGGAAACTTTCTACCCCTTCTGCACCCAAGCGGAGTCCGGGTGGAGCAGAGCTAGGTGGAAGGAGGGAGGAGGGCTCACGGGCCTCCTCCAGGTCCTCTCTCAGTCAGCAATGCTGGGGGCCCAGCTAATGGTCTAGAGGGCACTTTGCCCTTTCTCCAGGATTGGATGACAGCCCTTCTCCTCCCCCTTAGAATCCACAGTGACCTCCTCCATCTTCGGTCCCCCAATCCAACCCTGGGGAGCTTAAGGGATGCCTGGTAAAGCCACCTAGCATTTAACCCTAGCAGGGCAGGAGCCCGAGTTCCTCCTTCTGTGGTTTGAGTCCCTTGTTGGAGGAGGGCCCACAGGAACCAGGCCTGGATAAATAAACATGGCGGTCCTGGTTGGCACATCCCTCCTCTTTCTCCTCAAGCCGTGATTGTTTTAGCAGCTCTGAATACTTTCCTGGAGCTATTTCCTCCCAGGCCGTGTCTCGGCCTTGGTGGGCAGTGCATGCTCCTCCCTGGCTGTGTTTTTATTCCAGGGCCCCTGGCTCCAGTCCAGATCTCAGAATGATGCTCACTTCTTCCTGGGGCCCCGTAATACCAGATTAATCACATCAGCACTTTTGTGGATTAGAGGTCAGTTTCCCCAATGACCTCAAAAATGAGGAGAAAGCATGTGAATCATCCCGTGAGTACTTAGAAAAAAATGCAATTTCACTGAGAAGGAAAACCACAGTGGGCTGTGGAGAGACCCCCTCTATCTTCAATCCACACTGTACACTTAGTGACCCCAGCCTCGGGCAGAGGGCTAAACCCATGGCTTAATCACATAAGCAGAGCTTATGTCAAGTTGCTTTAAAACCCTGGGCTGGGCGGTCAGGCAGGAGAGGGGCAGGAGACAGGCTTGATAAGCCAGTCAGGGAAGGGCAGACCGTGAGGTAGACCGAGCCCTTGGTAGGAGGGAGCAAGTGAGGCTCTGGTAGAAGGGCCAGCCCAGGGACAGCATGCCAGTGATCAATATCGAAGACCTGACGGAGAAGGACAAGCTGAAGATGGAAGTGGACCAGCTGAAGAAAGAGGTCACGCTGGAAAGGATGGTGGTAAGTGGCCTCTTTGGGGAGGCCTGGGACTTCTAGGGCCAGGACTGGGACAGGGGAGGTACCTGGGGAGGTGGGGCCTGGCCAAGTCAGACTTGAAAAGATATGACATTGGGGTAGACCATCGGCGATTGCCCCTGCTTAGGCCATCCTGGGAGCAGGGAGAAGGCTCCCGGGCCAGGCCATTAGTGCCCTCCACTCACATGCGTGCCTGACCCCTGACCAAGCCCAGGAGGCCATGAAGCTGTGCTCTTCTGCAGTGACCTGCTTGGTCAGAGACTTCAGGGTCAGTACAGGGGAGGGCACTCAGGCCCTGGGGTGCAGGCTGTATCTGAAGCCTCGTCTTCATCACCTGCACTGCGGGGATGGCCCTTGCATTCCTTACCTGCCTGCCAGGCCTTTGGGCCCACCAATCCCTGCAAAAGAGCAGATGAAATATTCTGAAGGCTCATGGGGGCTGCTGCCATGCTCCCCGTCGCCCCACGCCATTCTTCTTGTTCTAACCTACCAAATGAGGTCATCCCAGCAACTGACTACAGTGCGTGGCCTTGGATAGCTAGCTGCCCATGGTCCACAGCATGGGGACACGTCAGAGGCAGGTCTTCCCAGTGCAGAGGCTGGCTCTCCACCCATGATGCATCACTGCTTTGCTTTGGCCTTCACCCGTCATATGGCCTCTGAAAACACTTCAGTTGGTGCATTTCTCCCCAAATCCTCCACATCACAGGATCATCACGGTCATAATGCATCCTGAGGTCAAACAGCAGCCCAGTTAGTGGTCATCCCCATTGCCAGACCCACATCTGTCTGCCTGCCGGCTCTCTGCCCAAGTGAAGCAAGGGAAGGAAGGAGAGGAGCATTTGGTTCCATTCTGTTTGTGGGGTCCCTCTTGTTGCCTTTTGAGGTAGGGATACACAAAGCGTCTGCCACCAGGCTTCCAAGGCCTGAGCTGTAGCATCAATCAATCTGTCAGCCAATCAATAACCACTGATGAGTGGCCAGCTGGGGCTGGGGATGCCAAGACAAAAGAAAAATAGTTTCCAGATGTCCAGGTGTAGGTACAAGCTGTCCTTACAGGGGGAGGCTGTTGGCCTCCTAGGAGGGGGCACTGGGAATGTCCAGAAGGAAGCCAGGGTTAGCCCACTCCCTGTTGGGGATGAGGTGAGGAGTGTCTAGTGCAAGGTCATGAAGGGCTTCATTTGCCCGGCTCTTTGCTCCCAGGGCTAGGTGGTGACTGAGCAGACGAGACCCAGCCAGACTTTTCAGCTGTGTCCTCTGCCATGGCATGTTCTTGCTCTCAGCCTCCACGACACTCCCTTGGTGACCACCTCTTCTAGTCATGCATGCTCTCTGGTGTCTCCCAGATTCAAGGCTTTCTCAGTGACCCAAAGCTGGGCCTCACCCCCTCTACCTGACTGCCCATCACCTCTGGGTCACCTTTCATGTGCCCACTGTCAAAGTGAGAAGGGACGGGAAGCCAGCTCTCCCCATGACCAGAAGCAGTGATGTGGCCTCCATTCTCTCTGTGAGTCATGGCCCAGGGCTTAGGGCACAACCCTAGTCAGACTCCAAAGTTCTGTCCAGTCTCCCAGAGAACTGAAGGGCAAAAGAAGCCCCTCCCCAGCCCCATTCCTGAGAAAGAAGGGAAAGGGGATCTTGCCACTCGAGTGCCCCAGGAAGCCCCTCCAGATGTGCTTGAGGGCCCTCCTTGGCCATGAGGCTGCAACCTCAGGCCAGCCTGCACACTCACCCCACTTCCCAGCAGCATGGAGTGTGGGACCCAGGAAATGCAAACTCATTCTGATGTCAGAAAGAGAAAAACAGTGGAGAGGGACTGTTCCGGAGCCTCAGAAAGAGGTAAGGGGCTGTTCCCTCCAGGATGAGGAGGAAGGGCTTCTGGGGCATCCGCACTCTGGAGACCCTCAGCACTGAGCGCCTGGACTATGGTAGTTGCTGCCGGCTGGCCACCTGCTCACACATCTCCCTGCTCCCGTCCATCCTCCACTGCCAAAGGGATCTTCCTAAAGGAAGGTCTGAGCACGTCACTCCCTAACCAACATAATCTGGGGGCTCCCTGTTCCCTCCAGAAGCAAATACAAAATGCTCCATTTGGTGTTTAAAGCCCTTCCTAAGCAGCCCCCCACGTACTCTGTGATCCAGTGGCCCTGGTCCCCTTGAGCAGCTGCTCTCCCCCAACCCCCCATTACAGATGATAAAACAGACTCAGAGTCAGGGCCCAAGGAGGCATCAGAGCCTGGCTGGAATAGGGCCAAAGACTTTCTTCAGCCCCGTCAGTCCCCCCTCCTTTATGAGTTCTTCTCCCCTGCCCATTGGCACATCTTGTACCCATCCACCCCCAGCAGCTCCTTCCCTCCTTTACAATGTTTCTCCCATAGCTGTGTCCCCCACATGGAGCTGCTGGCCCAAGGACTCTCTCACTGCCTCTGGGTCCTTGTCCAGCTTCCTGACCTCCCCTGATGGCCTCCCTGGCATGGTGGCCCTCCAGCTGGACACTGGGCTGAGGACAGGCTGCCGCTACCTGTCTGCCCCATGGATCTGGGCATGGCAGTCCTTGCCCCAGCTCTGGGGGTCTGAAACCTGAGCATGGCCTGGTGTCAAGGTAGCTCTTGGTACATGTACCAAGAGGGAGGAAGGCTTCCAATATGGTGGATGAAGCCCTCAGTTGGGCTGAGCTGTTGGGAGAACATGGCCAAGAAAGGCTCAAGATGACCCCATCAGTGGAGTCACAGGGCCTTAGAGTTTGAGGCTTGAGTGACACAAAAACCACACACATTTCACACTCACACGCACACTTTCACATACACCAGCACACACATGCATATACCATAAACTTACATCATAAAACACACACATTCACATACCACACACATATACATACACACTCACAGCCATATACATACCACACACACATTCACACACCATACACATACACACATACACATCTATACATCACACTCACACACATATACCCTGACACCCATTCTCACACACTGCATACATATTCATGCACACACACACAGCACCCATACTTGCACCACACACACATTCACATACCACACACATATACACATACACATATACACATCACACACAGACACCCATACTCACACACCACACACACATTGACACACATGCACACCCATATATACACGCCACACATACACTGACACCCATACTCACATATCACACACATACACATACATTCACACACCACACACACCACAATCACAACACATACACCTTGATACCCCTACTCACACACCACACACACATTCACACATATACCATGCACAGACTCACAAACACATACCACACACACATACGCACACATTAACACACATACACACACTAACACAACACACATAAATGTACACTTGCACAACATACGCACATCACACATGCACACCACACTCACATACCTCTCTCCTGACCCATGCCAATGGGAGATATGGTAAGCAGTGAGGCCTGCCTTCCAGGGGGGTCTGTTCTGTCCCACCTGACCTTAGGTAAAGCTGCCCCTGACTCCCGGAGTGGGAGGTAGGGTGAAGGGAGCCCAGGATTTGATGACTGAGTTTGAGGCAGGGAAGGTACTGAAAGACCTAATTGGTTGGGGCTTCCAAATGAGCGCCCTTGGTCCCAAGAGGCCAGCTGCTGGGAGGGCAGTGGCAGGGGGAGCAGAGCTCCCATCCCTAGTGAGGCTTCATGCTTAGCTTTGTGCTGCCAGGCGCATCTGAGCCCAAGAAGACCAGGCCTTGAATGACAACACATACTCTCCATCACCAGGCTTGTGTCCAGGGCCCATTCATCTTGGCAGGACCCTCTAGAGGGCGTGCTCTATGGGCATAGACTGAGGGCACCTTGGCTCATTGGAGGGGATGTGAGGAGAGGGCTGGGATTCCGTGTGAGCTCCCGATCCAAGCAGTTCATGGTCAAGCCTCAGGCCTAGGGAATGGCTTAAAGGTGAAGACCTTGCTGGCCAGAAGCCACTGAGGTCCTGAGGCTCAGGTGCAGGGCAGTGGCCAGACTGCCCCTGGTTTATGCTCAGTGGCTCCTAATGCTGATGCTTCCAGGCCAACTGGAAAGGGTACCCTGGAATGAGGCTGGAGCCAGGGACTCAGTGCCCATGAGAGCCCATTGTCGGGGGCCCCACCTCCTGCTCTTCTGGTGGTGGTGGTTATCAGGGAGCACATTGTACCCCAATTCTGTTCTGAAGCCTCTAGGAGGGTAGGGTCCTGATGCCATCTTATCCCTTTCTCTGTCCCTCCCAGTCCCACATCTAGCTCCCCCTCCCCACCCACTCCCAGAGGGCAGGTGGTGAGCCACTTAAGAAGTTGGGTGCAATAAGCTGGGATTAGGAGCGGGATGCCCCCTTTGGACCAGTCATGTGGATGCCCTACTCACATCCATGGCACTTTCAGAGCCAGCTCAGACAAAGTCACTCTCCTTTCCTTCCCTCGCTCATGTTCTAGGGATGGATCACCAGGCACACAGCAAGAACGCTCTGCTTTGTTAGGGGAAACACAGGACTCCTGGTTTGGGTGAGACTCAGGCGTCATGGATCTGGTTGTGGAGCAAGCTCTCTGTCCCTGCTGCTCCCAAAGCCCTGGTGCAGAAGGAGAGGCAGAAGCAGCAGTGTCTTCATGTGCCCTGGGAAGTCCAAGGCCTGACAGAGCCGTCCCTCCCCCCCAGGCCCTAGAATGCTGCCCCTGCAGTCAGCCTTCACGTGGCCATTGCTCATGGCCCAAGATGCACTCTTCACTGGGGGCCACGCAGCTCCCTGAGGAAGGGCTCCGCCATTCTTGTCTCTGTTCCTATGGTACGTGGCATGCAGAGTCATACGTGCTTGGGCTGCATTGGTATTTAAGGCCCACCTGCCTTCTAAATGCTTCCCAGCACTCCATTTATACCTTCCACATTATTCTGATGACTGCTGCAGGCACACAGCAGCACAACATCTGCTCTGTGAGGCAGGCATTTTCTAACCACCCTGGCTGCTCCCTGAGCTCAGCTCTCAACCCCTTTTTACAATCCATGTGCTCTCTCAAGGCTCAGGGGCTGCCTCTGCAGGAAGCTTTTGACCATCTGGTCATGACTGCATCCCCTTCCTCAGATTATCTCATGGGTCTTTGCCCCAAGCCCAATGTCTGCCCCTAGAAGACAGGGGCTGGTTTTTCTCTTTTTCTGCCACCCCAGTGCCTGCTAGAGCTCCAAATTAATCATTGCCTTGGAAGGTGCCGGCAGGGTTCTCATCACTTAGCACAAGGGAGAGCATGCAGGCTGAAGCCTTACAGAGGATCCGAAACTCCAGGAAAAGTTGGGGAAAGGAAGACATAGGAGCCAGCCATGCCTCTGCTGTGGCCTGGCTTTGGGGGTGTTCTGTGCACTAGGGCCTGGCCTCCATCCCTCAGCAGCAATTCTCCCACCCTTTCTTTTTTCAAAGGTTTCAAAATGTTGTGAAGAAGTGAGGGACTACATCGAGGAGAGGTCTGGTGAGGACCCCCTTGTGAAGGGGATCCCCGAGGACAAGAACCCCTTCAAGGAGCTCAAAGGAGGCTGCACCATTTCCTGATGGCCCCTGTGCATCGAGGACCATGGAATGACCAAGGTGTTTTAAAATTAGTTTAAAACCCCTTTGCTGTAACAGACCAGAGTGAAAGGATACTGTACCAAAACTCCGAGGCTCACCACTGCCGTCTTTGTGGGAATTGGGGTAGCCCCTCACCCCCTGCAGGGTTGCCATTCACAGCGGGAGAAGATACAGACCCTCGGAGGCCGGGACTGCTGTTCCCTCCCCCCCTCAGCCCCACCCCACACTCTCAGGATTCACTTTGAATAAAGATGGAAAGGTGGTTCATTGAAGTGGTTGATTTGATCTCTGACTTTGTGTCTCAGGCTTCTCTTGGGCTCAATGAACTTTTTGGATTGTTTGGTGATCATCAATCTCTTTCATTAAGACTTTCACTCTGGGATCCCAAGGAGGAATCCCCCTGCTCCCTGTTCTCAATCCCCATGGCCTCCCCAGGGATCTGGCATGTGCCCAGGTGCTGGCATTCGTTGATGTCCAGGTTTTCAATTGGTTTGTTTCTTGTTCCACATACAGACAATTCTGTCTAGAAAACGACTCACTGTGGGCTCCATCATCCTCTCCATCAGCCCCAGCTCCTCCAGACTCGGCTCCAGGGCCGGTCAGCTCTCAGTACCTTGTGGACCAGACTGGGCCAAAAATAGGGTCCCCGGCTCCCAGCATCATCAGGAAGGCACCAGACCCAGCTGAGTCAGCCACCTGTTCTCCTTGGCCCCAGGAGCTCAGTAGGGCTGGAGATGCCCTCCCTTCTCCCTCTGAGCCCCCAGAACATAGCCCCCATCTCCATTAGAGAGGTCTGAAAAGGAAGAGAATAGTCTATAAGTCTAGGCCAGGGAGCCTAGAAAAATGATAAGATACGTTATTCATGTTTTGTAATGCATTCTTCAAGGGATGGTTAGTGGACATTTAGAAAAGGAAGCAGCCATCACATAAGACCAGGATGGTGGTTTTAAGAACAATTTATTGCAAGCTAACCTCATTTCCTTTTTTTGACAGAATTCTGAGACTGGTAAATCAAAAGGGTTTGAAGATATAGCTCAACTAGACTTTAGCCAAGATAAGCTCCCTGGTGGTTTTTTGGTGCCAGGTGGAGAGGGTGATGGCTGCCTGGCCAGACCCAAAGAGAGGGAGGGAGAGAATGTTTGATGACATCAAACATGGCCCCATTGATGGCTCTTTCTGTCTCAGACGCTCCTTCTCACATTTGCCTTCAGGCTACAGGAATCTGGTGGAGGTGGGAGGAATGTTTCACACTTCTCTCAAGCCAGGGAGGGTGTGCCTGGCATTTTATGTAAGGGCCACTAGTTTGGACAAAAGGGGCTGGAAGCATTCTGAAAGCCAGGCCACCTCATGGTTGGGAGGAATCTAGGACCAGGGCACTTAAAGTAGAGACTCTGGAGGGTTTGGGACAGGATAGAGACCAAAGAGGAAATGAAGTCACTGCCGTTGTCCCTGACCAGAGGCTGCTGGCCACTCCTTCCTGTTGTCCTCAGGGCTTGCTTCTTCAGAAACCCAGGGAATCAGGTTAAAGGCAAAGGAGAAAGGAGAATGGGGGAGCCCAGGAGGGCTGTAGCTATTCATTGCCAAGAGCACCTGAGTGTGGGGGCTCTCTGTCTCTGTCTCTCTTGTCTCTGTTTCTCTTGGCTTTCTGTCTCTGTCTCTCTTGTCTCTCTGTCTGTCTCTCTCTTCTCTCTGTGTGTCTGTCTCTCTTGTCTCTGTGTCTTCATCTGTCTACCTCTCTCCAGCTGGTGTTTTGTAAATCCTGTCTTCCACATGCCTTACACATACATAAGGACTAGGAACAGGAAGGAGGACAACTGCCCCTTGGAGGCTGCTTTTCTTGTCAAAAGTCAGTATGCCTGAGCCCAAGTATGATTTGCTGCTGCAGGATCTGAAGAGTGGAAGTGCAGCTTGAAATCTGAAGGGACCTGGGTAGGGCCACTCCACTCACAATTGCCATGAAGCAGAATAAAACTGAATAAAGATTTGTCCTCAATTTGCCCCAACTTCCGTCCCACTCCACTCCACACTCCATCCTTTATCTTCAGGCCATAGTGGTCAGTTTCCCACCCTTGCTCTTGTCCTTCCCTCTCACATCTCCATGATTTGGATCCTATGGTTTATCTTACCTGGATTGGCACCCACCCCCACCCTCTGTCAATGTTCCTTTCCTTTATTAAGACAGCTTCAGCACCCTCTCCTTCACACAGCTTCCAGGAGTCCACTATCCCTGATGGTCCCTCTGTACTGTATCATTTCTTTCTATAACCTGCCCCTTCCCCACACTCAGTTTTGAGAGCAGGTTCTATGTCTGTGTTGTTATCTCCAATGTCTAGCCCAGCAGGAGCTCTTTAAACATTTGTTGAATTGATCTGAATTGCTTGGCTTAAGCATGGAATAAATGCTGAAGTGGTGCTTGTTAACTGATTATTTATGCCATTACATGCTTAGTTGGCTGTCTCTCACCTTCTTGAAGAGAACCAAAATGACCTCACTCTGATGGGGTCAATGGACAGTGTGCTTAACTTCAGCTGATCAGACCAACACAAGCTGGGAAGGCTCTACCACAAGGTGCTCTTGGTCACTGCAGTTAATGACTGGACTCTTAACAAGATCAAAAGTGCCAGGTGAACCCTGCATGGGGCCTCCGTTGTCAAAGGAGTGGTCCAGCCAGGTGCAGTCACATTCACCGCCTTGAGGGTAATTACCATTCCGTCTGCTTCTTGGGCCTCTGGGAGTGGCTCCTTCAATCTCCACTCTGACTCCTCTGATCTTCGAGGCCCCTTCCCTGTGGCCCACAAACAGTCCCGGGTCTCCTCCAGCCTTAAAGCCCCTTCACTGGATTCTGCCACACAAATAGTCCATATAATGTGTGATTATATAAACTTATTTTGAAACAGTTGTGACTTTATCTGTGTCAGCACAACATTCCCTATCCACTAGACCCACAAGCCCACACTGCTGCGTGAGCTGGCATCCAATTCAATCCAATCCCTTGAGCTGTTGGAGAAACAAAGATCAAACAAAAATAGTTTGCTCTCCCACAGAGCTGAGATTCTTCTGGAGGCAGACGGCAGAAACAGGGAAGCTGGGAAGGGGTGAGTTTAAGGCAGGAGTCAATGAGATCCACGTTAGGCCTGTTGAGCTTGAGATGCCTATGGGGCATCCATTTCAAAATATCCACAAGGCCGTCAGTGATGGGGGACTGGAGTTTAGGAGAGAGGCTGGGGCTGGATTGATACATGTGGGGGTCATCTGTATAGCAGTGATCATTGAACCCATGGGAGCAGACAAGATCACCAAGAGAGATAGCATAGAGAGATAAGAGGGGAAAGACCAAGGCTAGAGAGTTGAAGCTCTCTCCCATTCACAGGGGTCAGACTGTAGGTGATGATTCAGAAAGTGGTACTACGAAGGAAGAGCAGGACAGGATGGAGGATGATCAGGAAAGGGTGAGCAGGGTCATAAAAACCCAGAGAGAAGAGTGGATCCAGAAAATGCTGAAAGCTGTAGAGGGGCCAAGAAAGATAAGGATGCAGCAAAGGCTGTCAGATGTGGCAAGTAAGCCATCAGTGGGAACCTTGGGAAGAGCAGTTCCAGCGGCCTGGGGGAAGCCACTGGGTTGAGAAGAGAGTGGGAAGAAGGGAAGAGAAGTCAGGGAATGTCTGACTGAAAAGGAGGAAGGATGAGGTGCGACAGCCTGGGAGTGTGGCAGAATCCGGCTTTAAGGCTGGAGGAGACCCGGGACTGTTTGTGGGCCACAGGGAAGGGGCCTCGAAGATCAGAGGAGTCAGAGTGGAGATTGAAGGAGCCACTCCCAGAGGCCCAAGAAGCAGACGGAATGGTAATTACCCTCAAGGCGGTGAATGTGACTGCACCTGGCTGGACCGCTCCTTTGACAACCGAGGCCCCATGCAGGGTTCACCTGGCGCTTTTGATCTTGTTAAGAGTCCAGTCGTTAAGTGCAGTGACTAAGCGCAGCTCTGGAGGGTGGATAATGAAGCTTTCTGCCCGCCTCCTGATAGATGGTCAACGGGTCCGAGGAGCAGAATGAAACATCCGTGTTAGCACACAGCCAAAGTCAGTCAGTTCTGCTGGACTCTGCGTATTTGTCACAAAGGCGTTTTCCTTTTTTTTTCCCCAAAGGGGGAAGGTCCAAGGAATTAGAGTGGATCAAGACGAGAAAAAAACAACAAAAAACAAAGGAGAGGGGCATTGAGGCACCCTTTTCAAAAAATGCAGCGAACAGAGGGAAGGCCAGAAAGCTGACAGACAGCAGGACAGCGACCAAAGCTGCAGGATGAACTTCTTATAGGCTAACAAAGAAAATCAGATTGCACAGAGGAGACCCACAGCTTTGCACAGAAGATTCTCTTCCTGTTCATTTTATCTGATGCTTGTTAAATTCTGAATTTAAAAAAAAGTTCTGAGTTTCTGCTTGGTTCTGCTGTTTCCAGAGCCTTCCAGACATCTGGATGAGCAATCCAAGGCCTTGCAGGCAAGTGTGCAGCACGCAAAACTATCAAACCAGCAGCAAGAGGCACGTGTGATGTGTGTGTGTGTGTGTGTCTGTCTGTCTGTCTGTTTGTTTGTATGTGTGTGTGTGTGTGTGTGTGTGTGTGTGTGTGTGTGTGTGTGTGTAGGTACTGGAGGGTATGGGGGGAGGGGAGGACTGCCCATAGGCAATGTTGCCTCTTCTGAAAGAGTCCTGGGTTCAAGCAGACCCATGGTCAAGTTCTGCCTCAGACCCTACTGCGTTAGCCATGGGAAGCCACTTCATCGCTCCGTGACTCAGTTTCCCCAAATGAAAAAACCCAGGCTTAATGATACCTGCAGGGTGTGCTCACTAGGTCATTTTGAAGATCAAAGGAGACAAGTATGAAAGTGGAATCTTTAAAAGGCTCTCTAACCCCCAGTTTTTGTTGCCTTTACTAGTCTTCCGGCACTTCTCCCTAATTATCAGATGGGTCATGGGGTGTCTCAGATCCAGCCAACCAGACCTTGCCTTCGGTCCTCTGGGGGCCCCAGTTACACATGGCTAATGCTAGGTCCTTGGAAAACTAACCTGGGTGTTAGGGACCCAACAAGAAGACATTCTACCCTGTCAGCTGATTCCACAGCCTTCTTCCAACCCCCCTCCTCAGCTGCCCGCCTCCCCTGCCCCAGGCTTGTCGGGAGAGGGGCGGTGTGGAGCCGGGGGAGGGAGGGAAGGAGGGCTCCGATAGGGGACCAGGGTTCCCCAAGGGCCGCATCCTCTTCCTTGATTCACACACAAAGCCCGGATGTAATTTTAAAAAACAAGAAACCCAGCCTCAAACCTCTGACCTGCTTCCCTTCAGACCCGCCTCCCTGCTCTTGGGCCCCGGCGTCCAGGCGGGCAGTGCGGGAGACAGAACGCTGGCGCTGGCAGCAGAGATCCTGGGTTTGAATTGTGACCGCTTTACTTACTAGCTGGGTGACCTCAGGCAAGTCACTCTCCCTCTCTAGGTTACTTGTCAGGGTTTCTTCCCTTATAAGGTTTGGAGTGGGAGGGGGCAGAGCTTGGGATAGGGAAGAAGACTCGAGGATCTCCGAAGTCCTCCCAGGTTTAAGCCTGGGATCCGGGGATCCAGCCCTGGGGGTCCGCCAGCACTCTGAGGGCTAGCCTGGGAGGCCCGTGGGCAACCCCCTCACTCCACAGCCACCCTGCTCCCCTCCCCTCCGGCAGGTACGCTGTAAGGGCCCTAGCCCCTTTCAGGGACAGGGCTCCAAAGGAAATAAAAGACCCAGGGGAGTTTCTGGGTTTCGGTCACCACGAGGCCCAAGTGGATGCGGCGTCAGGAGCCAGAAAGGGACGGGGTTCAGGGAGCTGGAGATCATGAGAGTCTCTGCTCGCGGTGGGACTGAGGAAGAACAGTGGGAGGGTCTCGAGTGTGGGTGCCAGGGTCTTCCGATGCTGAGTGGGGAGTCTGTGGCCATGAGGAGCTGAGAAGCCGGGTGCCGAGCCCCTATGGTAGTGGGATTGGAAAAGATGTGAGGAGATGTAGTGTGTGTGTGTGTGTGTGTGTGTGTGTGTGTGTGTGTGTGTGTGTGTGTGTGGCTGGGGGGATTCTTCGCTAGGCACATCCCAGGGCAGGGGTAGACGTGGTGCTAGGAGTCGGGAAGGCTGTCTCTGCATGGCGAGAACTGAGAATCGGGGCCTCGACCCTGCAGAGGTAGGATGGGACTGAGCGCGTGGAGACTCAGCGGGAAGGTCGGGATCGTGGGGCATCCCCCCGGACCCTCGGGAGCTGGGAGAGGAGGCTGTGCCCAGGAAGAGCTAGGGCGCGAGAGCCGCCGTGTCCCCATGGCGATGAGATGGGACTGGACAGGCGGATGCCCAGCGAGAAGATCCGGATCGCGGGGCATCTCTAGACCATGGTAGACGTTATGCCGTGATCCCTGGGAGGGGAAACTGTACCCAGGAGGAGCTGGGGCGCGGGGGCCCCATGCCTCGATGGCAGTGAGTTGAGGCAAGGAGGGGGAGGCGCAGCATCCACGCTGGGCCCACCTCCACAAGCCCTCCTACCGAGGCAGCTACAGGTCCGGGTTGGAGCCCCTTCCGTCTCACCTTCCGCAGAGAGAAGATGCCCGCAGTTCACGTCGAAGACCTGTCTGAAAAAGACAAGCTGAAGATGGAGGTGGCGCAGCTCCGGAAGGAGGCGAAGCTGCAGAGGCAGCAGGTGACCCCTACCCCCACCCCCATAACCCAGAGTGCTAGCCAGAGGCGGGTTTCGCGCTGGGGAAGCGAGTCTCTCTGGCCCCGAGGGCTCTCCAGGCTGCGACGGGAGGGAGGAACCCGCCTGGGAGCAGCGGCGTACAGGAGGGAAGATGAGTGAGGTGAGGGCAGATGGGAATCGAGGCTGGGCAGCCAAGGTCAGGATGCCCTCTGTTCCTCCCCGGCTCGAAGGAGAGCTTTGAGACCACCACCCGCGGGAGGATCTGTGGGGTCAAGTCCTTCCAGCCGCCCAGTGCTTAGCGGCTAAGGCAGAGACCCCACTCTGGGGCACGCAGCCGCTCCAGCATCTCTAGAACCACAGGAGACAGCCTCAGGTTTGGTTCCTAAAAACTCCCCTCCCTATGGCAGCTCTGCGTTCCTCTGCTCCATATCTCCCGCCTCTGACAGGTCCCCTTTTCTGGGGAATATGGAGGAAGGCGTGGGGCAAGGTTCCAAACCCAACTTCAGGGAACAGGGCCTGGAGGCAGAAGTATCCAAATCCTGTCCTGGCCCAGCTCTTTCCAGGAATTCTTTGAGGAGATAGCCTTTCTTCCCTTAATCAACAAGCATTTCTTAAGATAAAATAAATGGTTTCTTTCATTCACAAACACCAATGGATTCAAGGCCAGGGAGCCAAGAGGTAAGAGGAGCCCAACGGGACAGTGCTGACACCAGGATTCTCTCTACAGAATGAAGTAACAGTAGGGAAGTGCTGTGGGCTTCCCTCTGCACAGGGAGGTCTCCTGGGGACTGGCTGGGAAGGTTGGCCATAGTGCCTTGCACAACAAAGTCTCCTCAGTCTGTACTTAGACGTTTATGTGAGCTTCGACCTCCCTTCTCCCTCCTTCCTACCCCCCAAGTTCCTGGAAGGCAAAGACTGTTTCAGTTTTGTCTTTGGGTCTCCAGGGCCTTGCGGGGCTTGGCACAAGGTAAGAGCTTAATCAATTCTTGCTGCACTGATTTACTGATTAGGGAGACTAAGGATTGCAGGCTTGGTCTCCTTTGGGCCAAGTCTGGCTTTGGGCTGTGCCTGGAGACAACTCCTGTTTATAGAGGGTTAAAGGATCAAACTCAGGGGCTGCATTTTTTCCAAAGACCTGACTTTTGGGACAGTCCCACACTGGCTGAGCCAGCTTCCGGCTTCCTGGAACACCCAAGAAGCCAATAGTGCTTCCTGTGATGTGGTTGTTTTGATTTTTTCCATGGGAATGAGAGAGATGCTATGCAACCATCAGATCTCTCTCTCCATCTCTCTCTCTCCCCATCTCTCTCTCTCTCTCTCTCTCTCTCTCTCTCTCTCTCTCTCTCTCTCTCTCTCTAGCAGAACTGGAGAGGACCCCAAAGGCCATCTAGTCCAATTGCTTTATTTTGTAGATGAGGAGACTGAGTCCCAAAGAGGTGAACAGGCTTGCCTAGTTTCACCTACATCCTGAGGTCTCAGAACCCAGCTCAATGATCTTGTCCTGTACTTGCAGCTTCTGTTTTGCTTCCTGTCTAGTTCTCCATCCTCTTCTCTGAATGGTCCTTCTTGGGGTGCTTTGCTATTTCTTTTCTTTCTTCTATCTCCTCAGCATGTATGCCCCTCAAGACTCATTCCTCTGCTGTCTTCGGTTTCTATATTCTCTCCTTTTATGTTTGCATCTGCTGTCATGGCTTCAAGTATCACTTCTAGGAAGATGACCTCTCCCCTGGAATGTGGTCCCATGTCTGCCCTCCTTCTCCCCAGCCTACATAGTCCTCAATCCCCATGTCCCTAAATGGCCTCTTCCAAAGTAGATCTCTATTCCCGTGGAGAGCCCCACTAGCTGCTCCCATTGCCTTTCATTGAAAGCCAAGCAGGTCTGGTCAATCCAGCTGCCATGTCATCTCTTAAATCTGGCCCCTTCTCTCTGCTCCCTTGGTTACCTCTATAATTCTGGTCCTCATCTCCTCTCACCTGGGATGTTGCAAGAGCCACCACCTCCTCATTGGCTACTCTGCCTCTTTTCTCTTGCCTCTCTAAGCCATCGTTTAGCTTCCTTTAATCAACAACTTTTTCAAGCGACAATCTCATTGATTGTCTTTGGTAGCTCCCTAACTATTTTTTACTGATTAAAATGCAGACTCAACCTGGCATTCCAGGCTCTCTGAGGTCAGGCTCCAATCTTCCTTTCCAGCCTTATTTTATCATATTCTTTTGTGCATACTCTATACTCACTGGGCACCTCTTGTCTCATTGTATTCAGGCATGTTCAGGACAGCTGCCATCTCTGCTTGTCCAAGTCATTCTTATGGTGGACCAGCACAGATGCTGCCTCTTCCATGAAACTTTCCCAGATATTTTCAGTTTGACATGAACCCTGTGTCCTCGAATCTGTCAGGATATCTTATCGCTGCTCCTCTCCCCCTACCTCACTTATTCAAGCTTCTTTACGTGTTTCATCCCTTCTATTAGATGTAATGACTATGTCTATTTTACCTCAGTGCCTTGCAGATACTTAGCAGTAAATGTTTTGTTGAAAGGAATACCTTTTGGGAGCATCCTGGGGATGGGGATGTCAAGGTTAAAGTGCAAATGGGGAGACATTTAGCTTTCAAAGAGCAAAACACATAAGATGGCCCCAGACTGAATATCTGCCTGATGGCAGCATTCTAGATAAATCCCTGCTCTTGGTCCTGAGGGAGCCACATTAGGAAATGTGGGTCATATCTAACCCTGGAGCCAGGACCTCATCAATGACAGCATCCCTCCAAAGGTGAAGATCATAACTCTCAAGTGCCTTTTCCTTTGGGATGACTAATGGAGTTGGAAATCAGGGGGTTAGCATATCTTAGAGATGGTCAGGGAGTGATATGGTGGGCTCAGGACCAGACAAGATAAGGCAAAACTCACCAATTTGAGACCAGGCTCCCAGAGGAGTATGAATTCCAGTGGGAAGAGAGTGGGAAGGATGGGCACTGCTAGAGTGCAGGCAACGTGGCTTGCTGGTAACTGGTAAGAGTTGGTGATGTGGTGGGTGAGACAGTGAATGCAGTCCTGGGAGAACATCCAGGGACAGGCTGGAAAGAGACCTACTTTACTCTGCCCTGGTCAGACTACGTTTGCAATATTGTGTTCAGTTGGAAGCAGTATGGCATGGTGGCTACAGAGCCTGCCTCTAAGCTAGGAAGGAAGGACACAAGCATTTATTTAGCACCAAATATGTGCTAAGTGCTTTACACATTTTATCTCATTGGAAGTTCAAGTCTCATTTGAGACATATCTGGATGTATGACCCTAGGCGAGTCACTTTGCCTCTCACTGCTCTAGGCAACTATCTAAGCCAGTAAACTGCAAGGTAGGTGTCATAATGCATTGGTAGAGAGAGTTTCCTCTCCCAGAAATTCTTTAGACCCGTGAAATGACAGGTCTGGCGCCCAACCATCTCTCTCTGGGTGTTACATTTTAGGAAGGACATTAAGAAGCTGGAGAGTGTTCGGGGTGGGTGACCAGTGAAGAGCTCAAGTCTGTGCCCTAGGAAGGCTGATTGAAGAAACTGGAAATTGGAAAACAGACAATTAGAGCTGTCTCTGAGCCTTTGAAGGGCTAGGATGTGAAGGATTACTCTCAGTTTAGCTTGGCCCCAGAAGGCAGAGACTGGAGCAGTGGGTAGGAAGTTCTGATGTGAAGAAAAGCTGAGAACTGTGAATGTGGAGCTGGAGTCAGAGCTGGCGGACTCCCCCCTCTGCAGAAGTGGTCAAGCAAAGACTGAATGGATGAGCATTCATCAGAATTCCTTTGGGGCTGCTCAGGACTCCTTCATTTCTGAAGTGCAATGTTGAATATCCCCATGGTTAATGTTCCACCTCAGATTTTCCTGTTCGCTAAACTCTACACAGTGTAGCAGAACATTTGCTACTTAAGGGCAGATGTCATTTTCCAGGTCTTTGCAACACCTAACAAATGATCTGGGGAAGCTACGTGGCACTGTGGATAGAGTGCCTGGCCTAGAGTCAGGAAGACTCATCTTCCTGAGTTCAAGTATGGCCTCAGACAGTTACTAGCTGTGTGACCCTGTTTGCCTCTGTTTCCTCATCTGTATAATGAGTTGCAGAAGGAAATGGCAAATTGCTCCAGTATCTTTGCCAAGAAAATTCCAAATGGGGTCAGGAAGAGTTGGACATGACAGGGCAGGAATAAACATTCCAGCTCACATTCACCAGTAGCAGGGCTTAAAAGCAAGCTATAGCCTTGCAGGAGAATTATGGAAAGGACAGAAATCATGGAAACAGGCTCTCTCCTTCCTCACATGAATGGGAAATTTGTAGAGGCTTCCACAGGAGAAGGTTCTGTGGCCACTGTCCCCAGAGCTTTGCACCCATTTGAAGCCCAAACCAAGAAGCATGGCACCAACTGTATGCCAGGCACTGTGCTGTTGAGCCCCGAGGCTAAGAAAAAAGGCCAAGTCTCTGCCCAAAGGGAGCTCATAGGCTGATGGGCAGACCACATGCAGAGAGCCAGGTAGACAGGAAATGGAAGGCTTTCTGAGACGGCACTGCCAGATGGGCAGGTAGACCCAGATTTTTGGTGGCCTCCTCAGGCAGTCCCACCTGACACATTGTTCTCTGCTTTCAGGTTTCCAAGTGTTCCGAAGAAATTAAGAAGTACATCGAGGCGCGCTGTGGTGAAGACCCGCTGGTGAAGGGCATCCCGGAAGACAAGAATCCATACAAGGAGAAAGCAGGCTGCACTATCTCCTGAGCGGCTCCCCCTCATTCCCCCCCGGCTGCCAGCCGAGGTCAAGGTCAAGGCCAAGGCTAAGGCGGCTCTGCCCAGACCTTAGGTTCCCCCGGACACACTCACAATTGTGTGTTTCCTCGCGGCTTTGCAGGGAAACGCTAAAGCTCTGGCATTATGATTCCGGCGGCTCCAGAAGCAGATTCTGGAAGTCTTCACGACCCTCGCCCCTGGGCTTCAGGAAAGAGGCGCCGGCTCCGACAACGCTCTGAGGAGGAGCATTCCCGCCCACGCCTCCACTCCTCCTTTCCCTCAATAAAGCTCTCTCTCCCCTTTTCACCTCTCCCTCTCTGCCAAAATCGGGCCTGGGTTCTCTGAGGCTGGGTTGGTGGATAGGCAGCCAGGGCAGATGAACTTTGTGCTGGGAGGAGCTGACTGGAGGGAGGTGGGTGGTAGAGACGGCCTAGCCGAGACGTGTTGGGAGCTGAGCCCCCGCCCCGCGCTGGCACACTCCCCAGCCTGCTGGCCTCTCCGTTGCTCCCTCGTCACTTTGTACATCATGGCCCGCTGCTGGGCTGCGCTGGCTGGGCGCTGGCTGAGGAGTCCAGACGCGGCCCAGGCCCTTTTTCTAGGGCTCCCCAAGGGCGGCCGCAGCTTCTCCTCGCATCCCTCCTCCCCAGAGACTGTCCAGGAAGGTGGCAGCCCCAGCAGCGCAGACCCGCTGTACTACACAGAGGAGCACCAGGCCCTGAGGGCTTCCCTGCGGAAGGTAGCGGCAGCCACCAGTCCAAGGAGGGCCCCACCAACTCCCGGGAGCGCTCGCCCTTCTTTCTCCTCCCGTCTTCTTCCTCTCTTGCCCTTCCTTTCCTCTTAGTTGAGGCTCCGGGAGCCCTACAGGAAGGTCTATGCTCAGCTGCACAGGCAAGCGGCTGGCTTCCTTGCTAACTGACCCCCTGGGGAAGTCCCCCCAAGGAAGCAGACCACCCAGGGCTGGAAGATCCGGTAGCCGCGCTGAGCTCTGCTGTGCAGAGAAGCCTGACCCTCCCCCTGCCAGGCCGGCTTTTTGGTCTTCGTTCCCTTCAGTTCGTATGAGGGGGTGACCTTGGCCGTCCCGCGGGTTCGGACCTACAGCGGAAAGCGGCGATTTCTTTGCGCTTTTCAGGGTGTGGGCGTCGGTGTGGTGGGTGCTAAATTAGGTATGGTCAGGACGTGGGCCTGGTGCCTTTGGTTAGCTGAGGCGGGAGGTGGGGGCAGGGAGGATCGTGGCAAGCGTTTCAGTATGGGAGCCGGCAGATGTTCGGTACTGCCCGCCCAGGGACCTCTGGCGACTGTTCACACGCCTTTCTCTCTGTCTCTCCATCCCTCTCTTTGCTTCTCTCATTCCCTAGGTCTGTTTCTGTCTCTGTCTCTGCCTCTGTTTTCGCCTCTGTGTCTCTCTTTCCGTCTCTCAGTCTGCCTTTTTTTTTTTCTCTCTTATTCCTTTGCTGTCTCTTTCTCTGTCATTTCTCTCTGTAGCTCTCTGGTCTCTGCCTGTCTTTTGTCCTCCCCCCATCCCCCTCACCCTTATGTTCTCTGTAATATTAGGATGACAGTATTCATGCCACTGGAGGAGGCAGTGAGAAGAAGTCTGAGGAGCACCATTAGGATCTAAAGCCCTAGAGAAGCACTTAAGGGTCTTTGTGTGTCAGGCACTGTGCTGAAGGCTGGGGGGACCAACACAAGCCAATCAGCAGCTGCGGAGGTACCCTGTGGGGGAGGGGGACCAGCAGTTGGCAGTAGAGCCAGGAGGGAAAAGACGGCTGGCAGGCCTGGGCCTCTCCACAAAGTGGAGGCCCTAGGTGAAGCCTTGGGCGGGCCACACCAACAGGGTCACATCAGCTCAGCTGCATTTGCCAGTGATTTTGAAATCTGAATACGCCTTGCCGGAATGGAATATTCGCACTGGCAAGAGGGAGACCAATTTGCTTTGAATTCTTGGCCAAATTTTCTGCCCTTTCTCCTGTGTGAGCTGGCTAAGAGCCCTGCCATTTCTTGTTTGTTTCGTTACAGACAGAAATACCCATAAAAATCTAACAAGTGGAAGCAGGGAGTGAAATTATTGAGCCCACTCACTTTTGTCCCAGATCCCAGTCTGGTTGCTGAGGCTGTGAAACATCAGGTTAGCTTGCTTCCTACTCCCCAACCCTAGGCTTGCCCCCAAAGGAAATTCAGGCTTTTGTGGGGCTGGTTCCTGAGCAGATCCTTCTGTTACAGATCAGGTGATACATCTGGACTTCCAGGTCCTTCCTGTTCCCAAGGTCTGTAGTCAGGACCAGACCACAGGGAGGGAGCGCCAGTCTGAGTCTGCAACAATAGAGAGCATGAACCCTGTTCCCTGGGCAGTTTTCCAGTGGTTTGAGAAGGACAATGCCTGTGGCTCCCTAACAGTCTTTGGATGGATGTCAAAAAACAAACCCAGAGGGGTCTTTTCTGAAAGGGACACATTTCCCTGAAGCACCTTTTAGAAAATCATTTTCTTTCTGGAAATGTTGAGGCTCCCCTTTGTCTTCTCCTGGAGAAGTGTGGAAATGAGTTTCACACCGCAAGTGTGTGCCTTCCACAGGTGGGGGTGACATTTATTTATTTGTTACAAATAAAAGAACAGGTTTGTTGGTGGACACTCCTGGTGACCAGGAAAAGTTTGTCTCATAGTTGGATCCCTGGAACACTCTTCTCCTCTTTCTGGGCAAGTTACCATTTGCCTCAGTCTACTCATCTGTAAAAATGAGATGGAGAAGGAAATGGCAAACTACTGCAGTATCTTTGCCAAGAAAACCCCAACTGGGGTCACAAGGAGTTGAATATGACTGAAATATAATTCAAAATGACTCTTTTTCTTCCTCCTTCTCCCCCTCTTCCTCTTTCTTCTTCTTCCTCTTCCCTCCTCCTTCTCCTCTTCACCTTGTCTGCTGCCAAGTCTTGTCACCACCAGCTTGGCTGCCTTCGTCTGGATGTGATCCAACTGGGCATCCCTTCACACATGCCATTCTCCTGTGCCTGTCTCAGAAGTGGTTTCAGGCTTCTGTGTTTTTCACTCAGGGCTAGAGCAGTGGGGTTTGGGTGTCCCTCCTGCCCTCTGTAGTGGCTACTGCTTTGAACATCCTGGAAGAAGTCTGCAGGGTGCCTGTTTGCTGGCACTGGCCTCTAGCCCCATGACTCGATTTGGCTGGATCCTGGGTTTCCTCTGGGGACAGGGAAGACTGAGGGGGCACTTCACACTTGGCAATTTGCAAGACCACTCACTGTGTTTCCTCCTTTGCTACTCACCTTCAGATTCTACCTTTCTGAGTTTAACCTCAGGGATCTCCCTTCCCCTCAGCAGTCTCTGACCCAGGAATATGGCCCTCACACTCTCAGGCCCCTTTTTCTGGTCACACTTCAGTACCTCCCCTAACCTGATCCAGCTTCCCTTCTGGCAGGTCGGACTTTGATCTGGACCAGCCTTGTGACAGCACCTTTGCTCTCTGGTTGCTCCACTTCCTGGAAGGAAAGCTTTCTCTAATTACCAGAAGAACATTGGCTCTTTCAGCTCCCTTTAATGTGGGATTCTCCCCTCCCTTAGAAGAGACGGAGGTCCCCAATTCCATTTGCTTCAGCTCAGGGCCAAGAAGCCTCTCTGGGGTAGGGGTTAGAGGGAAAGAGGTATTCCCTTCCCAAAGAAATGTCCCAGGAATAGGGGCTCCTCTGTCCTGTGGTTGGTGGGCATTGTGGTGTAGAGTTCTGCAGAGAGAACCTGGGTCTGACCTGCTTTAGACCCTCTGTGCTTGGATTTCCTCACATGCCAAATGGGACAATCATACACATACAGACTGCCTTGTGGGGTTGTGGGTGGGATGCCTGAAGCTTGCTGGGGTGAGGGCTTATTTTTTATTGAAGGTTGATCTGGAACCTCTCCCCTTTCCCCCACATCAGAACCTCTGAGAATCAGCCAGTCCACACATACATCATAAAATAAGAAGTGTTAACTGACATTTATGTAGCACCTTAAAGTTCAGAGTTCACTTTATACCCATTAACTTGTCTGGTCCTCAAGACAGCCCTGTGAGATGAGCACCTCAGGCATTATCCCAATATGCAAATGGAGAAACAGAGCCTCAGACAAGTCAGGTGACTTTCCTAGGGTCACAGAAGCTCGTATGTGTCTGAGGTGGAGTTTCAGGCCTTTGGGATTCTAAGTCCAGCATTTTCTCCATCTGGCCATTCAGGCTTTCGATTAAGCACTCACTCGTGCCTGAGCACTATTGGACACATCATCATCCCGGTTGCTTTAGGTATCTCAAACGCATCCCGTACAAAACAGACCACATAACATTGCACCTAATCTATCAATTCAATAAATATTTGTTAGCATATAGTAATGTACCAGGCACTTGTGCTAAGTGCAGAGGTCACAAATAAGGAAGAAGGACAGTCCCTACCCTCAGGGTGTTTATAATCTAATGGGCAGGAATGGGAGGTACTCAATACCAGGCAGAAAGTTCCATGGAGTCAAAGCTATGCCTCACTTCACCTGAAAGGTTGTGAACCTTCTAACAAGGAAGGCTTTGCTCTACCCTCCAGCCCTGCAGTTAGAGGGAACAGGTCAGGGAGGAAAAGTTGAGAAGGTGTGAGAGGACCAAAGCCTGAGCAATCTTGTGGTGAGGGCATTTCAGGCAACCTTGCCCTCCAGGCACTCAGAGTTGCAACCTTGGAATCACTTGGATTCCTCTCTCATCCAATCAGTTGCCAGTTGACAATTTTACCTCCACCTCAAGCTGCCCTCCCCACTGGACTGTCCAGTCCTACTGGTCCAGGTCCTCTTAATCTCCTTTGGTGCCCAGAAAAAGGGGGCATGTTCACTCTTCTACCCTCCAAATCTGGAGGCCAAAGGGCATGCTGAGATCTTGGATTCCAAAGAAGCTGGCCTCTTGTCCTGCATGCCAGGTGGCAAAGAGCCCAACCTGAGTCTCCTTTGTTGCTTGCCTCAGGCAAGAAGGCTTGTTGGAGGGAGGATGTGGGAGGAAGGATGGATTTCTGTGGGGCTTGGACAGTCCCCAGCTGCATCCCACATTGGCAGTGAGAGAGTGAAGGAGCAGAAGACCCTCTTTTGCTGTTTCCCAGTGACATGGCTGTAGCAACGGCTTTCTTTTATTCTTTAAATCACAGAGACTTTTAAATTCTTTTACCCCCCCCAGTGCCAAATTCTCTCCTTCCCTCCCTCTCTCCCCCACCCAAAAAGAAGGCAAGAAAAACAAAAACCCATTACAAATATGTGCAGTCATGTAAAACAAAATTTCTTCATTATTTCTTTAATCTCCTCTTCAGTGGTGGTGAATTCAGTTTTTTCATTTTTGATACTGGTATTTTGACTTTCTTCTTTTTTGTTTTAAATCAAATTAACCAAAGGTTTATCTATTTTGTTAACTTTTTCATAAAACCAGACCTTAGTTTTATTTATTAGTTCAATAGGTTTTTTTTTTTGGTGAGGCAATTGGGGTTCAGTGACTTGCCCAGGGTCACACAGCTAGCAAGTGTCAAGTATCTGAGGTCAGATTTGAAGTTAAGTCCTCCTGACTCTAGGGCCAGAGCTCTATCCACTGCACCACTAGCTGCCCCATTCAATAATTTTCTTACTTTCAATTTTATTAGTCTCTCCTTTGATTTTCAGGATTTCCAATTTGGTATTTAATCGGGATTTTGAATTTGTTCTTTTTCTAGTTTTTTTAGTTGCATGCCTAATTCATTGAGTTGTTCTTTCTCTGTTTTATTGATGTACACATTTAGAGATATAAATTTCCCCCTAAGTATTGCTTTGGCTGCACCCCATAAATTTTGATATATTGTCTCATTATTGTCATTCTGTTTGATGAAATTATTGATTGTTTCTATGATTTATTCTTTGACCCACTTGTTCTTTAGGTTTAGATTATTTTGTTTCCTATTAATGTTTGAGCTATCTTTCCATGGCTTTTATTAAGTGTAATTTTATTGCATTATGATCTGAAAATGATGCATTTAATATCTCTGCCTTTCTGCATTTGATTGTAGGTTTTATGCCCTAATTGTATTATGGTCGATTTTTGTGTAGGTGCCCTGTCCCACTGAGATTTTTTTTCCAGATGTCTATCATATCTAAATTTTCTAAAATTATATTCACCTCCTTAACTTCTTTCTTGTTTATTTGGTGATTAAATTTATCTAGTTCTGAGGGGGGAAAGTTGAGGTCCCCCATGAGTATAGTTTTATTATCTATTTCCTCCTCTAACTTATTTAACTTCTTCTTTAGAAATTTGGATGCTATACCATTTGGTGTATATGTTTAGTATTGATATTATTTCATTATCTCGGCTACCTTTTAGCAAGATATAGTTTCTTTCCTTGTCTCTTTTAATTAGATCTGTTTTTGCTTTTGCTTTGTCTGAGAGCAGGATTGCTACCCCACTTTTTTTTTTTTACTTTAACTGAAGCATAATAGATTCTGCTGCAGTTTTTTTACCTTTACTCTATGTATGTCTCTCTGCTTCAGGTGTGTTTCTTGTAAACAACATATTGTAGGATTCCAGTTTTTAATCTACTCTACAATCCATTTCCATTTAATGGGAAGGTTTATCCCATTCACATTCATAGTTATGATTACTGTTTCCCTCTACCCTAGTTTTTCCTGTTTATACTTTCTCTCTCTCTCTCTCTCTCTCTCTCTCTCTCTCTCTCTCTCTCTCTCTCTCTCTCTCTCTCTCTCTCTTTCTCTTTCTCTCTCTCTCTTTCTCTCTCTCTTCCTCCTCCTCCTGCTCCTCCTCTTTCTCCTCCTCCTCCTCCTCCTTTCCTTTCACCCTGTTCCTCTTCATGAGTGTTTTTCTTCTGACCACCATTTCCCTCAATCTGTCCTCCCTTCTATCAGGTCTCCCCCTGACTTTTCTTGTTCCTCTCCCCTCTTACTTAGCTATAGAAGAAGATATATTTCTATACCCAACTGAATGTATGTTATTCCCTCTTTGGGCCAAATCCAATGGGAGTAAGGTTCAAACAGTGCTCATCCCCCTCCCTTCTTTCTCTCTACTGTAATAGGTCTTTTGCTCCTCTTCATGTGATGTAATTTACCCCATTCTGCCTCCCCCTTTCCTCTTCTCCCAGAATAACCCTTTTCAACACCACTTAATTTTTTATATCATCACATCAAAGTCAATTTATACCCACACCCTCTGTCTATGTAAATACTTTTTCTAACTGCCCTAATAGAGACACAGTTCTTAAGAGTTACAAATATCATCTTCCCATTTAGGGATGTAAACAGTTTGACCTTATTGAATAACATGGGATTTTTTTCCTGTTTACCTTTTTATGCTTCTCTTGAGTCTTGTATTTGAAAATTCAATTTTCTGTTCAGCTCTGGACTTTTAACCAGGAAATCTTGAAAGTCCCTTATTTCACTGAATGCCCATTCCCCCCCTGAAAGATTATGTTCAGTTTTGCTGTCTAGTTGATTCTTGGTTGTAATCCAATTTCCTTTGCTTTCCAGAATATCATATTCCAAGTCCTCTGATCCTTTAATGTAGAAATTGCTAAATCCTGTGTAATCCTGACTGTGGCTACTTGATATTTGAATTATTTCTTTCCAGCTCTTTGCAGTATTTTCTCCTTG